TGATATCCATTGATTATGCAGCTGAATACTGGGACTGCCATGGACAGGCTCTGTGGCTGATGTGGATCTTCCTGGTTGGACTGCTTGGTGAGTGTCCCCAGAGCTGCTGAGCACTCAGGCCTCCCTGCCTGCCCTGATTGCTCATCAGGCCATCGACATCCTTTGTGTCGCCGTTCCTCGTGGCATCAGCTGTCTCATACCATAGAGACAGACCATCTCACACCATAGACTGCTTGGAGTCAGAAGGGACCATTTGTGATGATCTAGTCTGACTCCCCACAAGGAACAGAGCCCGATCCAACCTCACCTTGGAAGAGACAGGGCATCCAGCACATCTCTGGGCAACCTGTTCTACTGCCTCACCACCCTTACTGTGGAAGATATTTTCCTTATATCTAACCTGATTTTTCCCTTGTTCTTTCCTTTTGCTCCAATTTAAGTATTGAACGGCTGTTACCAGGTCACCTCGGGGCCCTTGCTTCTCCGTGCTGAACAGCCCCAGCTCTCTCAGCCTGTCCTTGGAGGAGAGCTGTTTGATCCCTTGGTGGTTTTTTTTTTTTTGTGGCCATCCTCTGATGTGATCCAACAGGTCTGTGTCTCTTCTGCACTGAGGACTCTACATCTGGACACGATCCCTAGATGTGGGATTGTACAGAATAGAGACTCAGATAAGGGAAGCCTCTTTACTTCACAGGTCCTACAGGAGCTGATGAGAACTTCAGAAATGAAGTGGGAGCTCCATACTCTGTGGCACCCTCCTTCTTCAGGGAAAGTAGAATGAATCAATCAGATGCTGAAAAAGCACTTGTCAAAATTGGTTTTAGAGACCAAATTACCATGGACAAAGTGTTTGCCTGTAGCCCTTGTCAGAATATGAACCACTCACAGAAAAGGCTTAGGAGTATCACCATACGAAGTGCTGTTTGGGTTGCTGTACTTGGGAATGGTGAGATGCCCGCTCTTGAAACCAAGGGTAAGTTTCTCCAGAACTGTGTACTCGGGTTGTCTGCTGCTCTGTTACCCCTTAAGGAATGTGGGCTGTTGGCTCAAACTCCACCTCTGAAATTTCCACTACACTCATCCCGTGTTGGAGACTGGTCCCAATACGCACCTGGAAGGAGTCAAAGCTTCAGCCCGAGTGGGATGGAATGGACCATTTCAGGTACTGCAGTTGATGTTGTCTACCTTGACTTCAGCAATGTTTTGTTACAGTCTCCCACGTCATCCTGGTAATGAAGCTGAGAAAGTGTGGGATAGAGGAGTGGATGATGAGGTGGGCTGAGAACAGGTTTACTGGCTGAGCTCAGTGGTGGTGATCGGCGGCGCAGAGTGCGGCTGGAGAGCTGTGAGCGGCGGTGCTCCCGGGGGTTGGTGCTGGGTCTGGTTGTGAAGGGGAGATTGTGTTTGTGCTGTAGAAGCTTTTAGTATTTTCTGTATGTAGTGCTGGCTTTACTGAACTTACAGCCCTCTTGTGAAAGAGCTGTTTGCCTTCCACTAAGAAAGTTGCTGAGCAGAGTGAAAAGATAAAGATTTGGGGTGTTCTGAATTGAGCCAGGCACAAAATAAGGCAAATGTGCAGGGTGGAGAGAGAGAGCCCAGCACAGGGCAGAACAAACGTGCTCACTCTTGGTTGGCACACCAAAAGCCTGAGCTGCCATTCAGGCTGGGGAGCTGGGCAGTATCAAACCAGATGAGGTGGAACAAAAGCAAGTGTTGAGCCTTGCACCTGGGAAGGAATGGCTGCAAGGCTCAGCAGAGGTTGGGACATGACCAGCTGGAGAGGAGCTCTGCAGAGAAGGACCTGGGGGTCCTGGTGGATGACAGGTTGGCTGTGAGCCAGCAGTGTGCCCTGCTGGCCAAGAAGACCAATAGGATCCTAGGATGCATTAAAAGGAGCGTGGCCAGCTGAGCAAGGGAGGTGATCCTCCCCCTCTGCTCTGCCCTGGTCAGGCCTCACCTGCAGTACTGCATCCAGTTCTGGGCTCCCTGTACAAAAATGACAGGGATCTCCTGGAGAGAGTCCAGCAGAAGGACAGGAAGATGATAAAGGGCCTGGAGCATCTCCCCAGTGTGGAAAGGGTGGGGGACCTGAGTCTGTTCAGCCATAAGGAGAGAAGACTGAGGGAGGATCTGATTAATGCTTATGTATATGTTAAGTGTGGGAGTCCAAAGGGCACGGCCAACCTCTTGTCAGAGATCTGTGGGGACAGGAGAAGGGGAAATGGCCATAAACTGGAGCACAGGAAGTTCTGCACCAAAATGCAAAGGATCTTCACAGCAAGGATGATGGAGCACTGGAACAGGCTGCCCAGGGAGGCTGTGGCTTCTCCTTGTCTGGAGATATTCCAGACCTGCCTGGACACCCACCTGTGTGGCCTGCTGTAGGGAGCCTGTTTTGCAGGGGATTGGACTCAGTAATCTCTGGGGGTCCCCTGCAAGCCCAATTCTGTGATTTTAATCCTTGCTTCTTGCAGCAATGCAGCGTTTCAGAAGAGAGAAAAGCACGGCAGGCATCAACTGGATTTCTGTGGTTGGTGAAGCTGTGCTGAGAACTGGGCTGACTGCCGCACCTGGAAATGAGTCTGCAGACTTTGCACCCAGAGGAATGACTTTTCCCTGCAGGTTGGGCTTGTCTAAGGTAGGTCACTGGTGAGAGAGCTTCTGCTTTAAAACATCAAGTTGTATAAATGAGGAAATCTTAAAATCAAGATTGCCAATTCTTTTTTACCTAAGTGATTTTTTTCACAAGGAAAGACTTGAAATGCTGCTTGCTAATGGAAGATGGAGAGAGGAAAATCAAGTGACAGGCACGCTGTGCATAGCCAGCACATAGCATCTGCACCGCTCTCCCCCTGTACAGAGCAGCTCAGCAAGCTTGGTCTGGGCCATGGAAGGCAGCATAGAAACATCTGGACCAATCCCAACAGAGCTGGTTCTGCAGGTTGGTTGTCTTCCGCTGTGTGTCTGCCGTTCTGTTGCTCTGGGGTAGATTGGTTGATGTTCAGCTTGTGGATCTGAGGTCTGAGTTTAAGGCTGTGGGCATCATCCAGGAGTTGGGGTAGGGTATGAGGCAAGGAAAATTGGGGTAAGAGGATGAGGCTTAGGACCAGGAACCTCTTCCATCACTATTAGCTCTTGCCGTTCTTTTTTTGCGTAGGAATCCATGTGGGTTTTTTAATGAAGAACAAATTCGTGCAGCTTGTGAGTGAATTCATTCACACCTGTTAATCGTTGTTCTTCTCTACGTGGAGCTGCAATTGCAATGGATGCTTGTGGTCTGATGTGCAGCCCCCTCTGGCGTGCTCAGATGAGCCAAGCTGGCAAGGCCTGACTCTCGGTTGGTGAGTTGTGCCCAAGGTCAGAGAGGTGACTCTTGTCGGCTTTGAGACGCATCTTCCAGTTGCACGCTGTGTTCTTCCTGTTGTGTTGAGCTCTTGAGCTCCAGCCCTAAGTGAGGATGCAAGCGCTACCGCAGAAGGGATGGTTGAGATAGGAAGTGCAGTGCAAAGGGCTGGAGCCAGCAGGAGCAGGGATGTGATCATCCCCTGTACTCAGCTCTGGTGAGCCCTCACCTTGAGTGCTGTGCTCAGTTCTGGGTCCCTCACTACAAGAAGGACCATGAAAGCCTGAAATGCGTCCAGAGAGGAGCAGAGAAGCTGTGAGGGGTGTAGAGCACAAGTCTTACAGGGGGCGGCTGAGGCAGCTGGGATTATTTAGCCTGGAGAAGAGGAGGCTCAGGGCAGACCTTATCCCTCTGCACAATGAGCTGAAGAGAGGTTATGTTGAGGTGGGGGTCGTCCTCTTCTCCCATGTAAGTAGCGATAGGACTGGAGGGAACGGCCTCAAGTTGCATGAGGGGAGATTGAGGCTGGATGTTAAGAAACACTTCTCCAAGAAGTGGTCCAATGCTGGAGCGGGCTGCCCAGGTTGGTGACAGAGTTACGGTCCCTGCAGGTAATCAAGAAATGTTAGATGTTGTCCTGAGGGACATAAGGGGCTTAGTGGGAAATGGTGGTGGCAGGTGGACGGTTGGACTGGATGATCTTGGAGATCTTTTCCAACCTTGCTAACTTTGTGTTCCTATGAAAGGCATCTGCTGGGCGAGTGCTTTGGTGGGTGAGCATCAGGCTGCTGGACAGCAGGCAGCTGTTGTCTGTGCAGACAGCCACATCCACTGGGAGTGGAGTCTTTAACCTTAACCTTGTCTTTCGTGTCTCATGTGCAGTAAGGCGTGTTGTTATAAAGCACCATCATAGGGGCAACCTTGATTTCTGCAGCCACCAGAGCTCTCCGCTGTGCTTCTCCCTTGATGTGATGTGAGACCGTATTGGAGGCCATGCAGAAGCCTGGATAGGTGAAGTCAGTTGCTCTTCCTTTTCCCGCCCAGTGCTGGAAATAGCAGGGAATGGGACTGGGGGACATCCCAGCAGTGGGTTCCTCTCAGCAGAACCGAATGACTGTTCTGGTGCATGTATTTGGAGTGAATCTGACGCCAGTTAGAGAAATGAGGGGCCTGTGGACAAAAAGAATGTGCTGCATTTTGCAGTGTAAGATGTTCTCTGAGCTGCTGCTAACAGTGCCCAGCATGCTTCCTTTTTGATGGGGAGAGGTTTAGCAAGGATTTTTTAGATGAAAATAGTTAATCCCATATTTCCTTTTCACTGACCTTTATTTCATCTAGTTCTTGAAAAGTTACCTTTGGACTCCACAATACTATGTATTACTGAAGAGAATACACGTGCACCCTGCGCTTTTCATCTGCACAAAGAATCTTGTAAACGTCTTTGCGTGTGTTTCTTCTTGGCACTGAGATGAAGCTGTGTGGAACATTGGCTTGCATGCGTTTTCAATCAGGTGCAGGGATGTGTAACGCTCGTCTCAGATGTCAGGGTGACAAGAAGAGCAGAGAGGTAAATTTTAGAGGGTTGCATGCTATTTTTTTTTTAATTTTAATTATTAATTTTTTTACAGTCATGACCATGGAACCACAGAAGTTTACCCAGACAGAAGGAGCCTTTGTCATCTGGACTTCGTACCAATGACACAGGCAGTGGAAGTCAGCATCCCAAGCATCCATGAAACCCCTGCACAGGACTGGTGAGAGTTACCCTGGTGCCGTCCTTTGGCAATCTCAGGCCTCTCTGTCAGCTCCCACGCTGTGTCGTAACTCCTCCCGTGGTGCTGACTCAGCTCTCCCAGTCTTTTGTGGGGGAGAGCTGGAGTTGAACTCCTTCCTGCTTCCTGCCTCTGTCCTCCCTGCTTTGCCCATGGCCCACTGAGCCTCCATCCTTGTTAGGTGTCTTGAATTACTGAGTTGCTTAAGGATCGGGTGGACCAATTAAATTCTTAGCGATGTCTCTAGATCCACGTGTGCACAAAAGCACACTCTGATGCAGTCAGTGTAATGATGAATACACGCCTTGTTTCCTTTAGCCCGTATTTTTAGTTCAGGAGAACAGATTTCTGGAATGATGTTCAGCTTGGCACCAGAATCCCCTTGCCGCCCCCCATTGCAGTCACTCACGAGGGCTTGAGATCCACAGGGAGGAAGTATTGCCGATAATTACAATCCGTGGTTTTAAAACTGATTTAATCTATGGTGGATGATATGAACAGTCGTGGTGAATGATGTGGTGAGGCATCCCAGCAATTTTCAACAGGAATACTTCAAGGCAGCTTTTCAAGGTTTCTTTGAGAACTTTCCAAGTCTCCAGGAATTTTAAGCGCCAAGGTTTCTTAGCCTTCCGAATGGCAGTGTTTCTATCTAAGCTGGCAGCCTTTAAACCCAACCCAAAATGAAGCTTGCTCATCTCAGTGGAGGTACCTTAGCTATATTCTAACGCTGCGTGCAAAATGAGTTTCACGTTTACTTGTCCTTTCTGACTCGCTACGTGTTTCATTGCAAAGGAAGAAAAGCTTGATGTCTGTGCCAAGGGAGACGTACACCGCACTTGCGCTGCCTGGACGATGTGGAAACTGGAAATTGTGGGGTGTGCTGAAGCATGCCCTCTCAGGTCAGTCTAAGCATACATAGAGTAGACCTGTCTAGCAAAACAGGGAATAGACAGTTAAACCCATTCTGTTGGGAAATACTCTCTCCTTCTAAGTACCTTTAGAACGTGAGTTTCTTCAATTAATTACTCAACTCATTTGCTTTTCCTGAATGATCCTAAGCTCTTTTCTCAGGCGACATCTGCACTCTGCTCAGTCTATGGAGAATCCCTGCCCGCAGATGCAATGACACAGCATGGCTCACCACCTCATTTTTCATTGCTTACTGTTATGGTAGCTGCCATCCATGTCCAGGCTGCATGTTCTTAGAGCTCTTCTGGAGTCCATGGGGCAGACTTATGGTTGAACTAAAGGGAATTTTTTTATAATGCTCTAGCTCCAGATGATTATCACTAGTATCATTGTATTAAAAAAAAAAAAAGGCGTTTTGAAGTAGTGCGATATATCTTCTGTGCCTCAGAATGTGGCACGTGTGGCATGAGAGAGTTTTGAGGCCACGAGGACTGCCCAGACAGCATGAGAACTGTAAGAGCAGAGAGCTATAGGTGATGCAGCGCTATTGGTGCCACCCGCAGGAAGCGGTAGCTGGAACAAAATATGGCCAGAAGAGTGATCAGATTGCGTTTGGTAAGGAACTATTTCCTTAGTTGTAGAACTTTGACAAAATGTATATTCAGGATGATGATCAGCATGCCAGGTGCTGGGACCATGCCGAAAGAGAAATGGTCTGAAAACGTCGGTGCAATTTGCAATATATCCCCTTCCACAAAGCCCTCAGATCCATGCTGCAACTGCATCCAAAGCAACGCAGAGCCCTGTGCTTGTTGTACCCGGAGCTGTCGGTGCCAGGAGTTGCTGCTGTGTTAGCAAGGACGTTGTGTCAGCAGTGTGCCGTCAGTGGGGTTGTTTGATGGCAATGAAACCGCTGAATGGTGTACCTCAAGACTCAGAAAGAAGATGGTAGTGGTGACTGTGTGTCTGGGTATAGATAGCTTGATACAGATCGATAGGACTGCAGTGTGGATTGTACATAGGCCCTGCGCTGCGAGGTACGCTGTTGGGAAGCAATGTCCATCTGCCCGAGGGCAGGAAGGCCCTGCAGAGGGACGGCCTGAGGCCAGCCGTACGAGGCTGCACAGGAGCAAGCGCTGGGTCCTGCGCTGTGGTCATGACAACCGCATGGCAGCTTGTGCAGGATTGGGCTGAGGTAGAATTCCAAGGGCCCACTGCTTCTAGAATGTTGGGTGCGGTGTTGGAATCTTCTGGTCCTGTGACATGGTCTTGCCTCCCCACCCTGTCGTCATGGCGGAGCAGCCTGGTGGCCCTTAGTGATGTCACAAGAGGCTGGAATGAGGGGAGGAGCAGTGCGTGCTGCGTCCCTTCATTGGAGCGCTTGAGCTCTGCGTGAGTAGCTCGCTTGTTGCCCTTGTGCAGCGACTGAGTGCCTTCGGTTTCAACCCTTGTGTCTTGTGCAGCATCTTGTAGGTAAGCTGAGACAGCGTGGGATGGACGGGTGGGCAGTGAGCTGTTGAAAACTGCTGGCTGGTGGAGCTCCTAGCAGCTCGTACTGCTTACTCTTGTCCATCAGACGTAACTTTCAGCCAGTACCTGCATTCCCAAGCGATCCACAAAGATGGCATTTGTCCCGTGGCTTTTCCCTTGTCATCTTTGCTCCATTGTGCAAGCTCACAGACCTGTTCCTTCTCTCTCCTCTATCCGCTCCCTTGGTGCAGCTTTCGCTCGTGGAAGCACAGAGCAAAGTGACAAGAAACAGCTGCGAGTTCAAGGAATTGTCTACCTTGTTCTGATCTCCTGCCAGGTACGTGCCACGCTTTGTCCCCCCACGTGGTTGACCAGCACTGTGTCGCACCATGTTTGGTAACACAGCCTCACCCAGCTTTGATGGGACACTGGTCCCGTGTGGGTTTTTTCCCTTCCCCTGCAGCTCCGCCCTCAGGAGGATGCTGTGTGTGGTGCTGTGACCAGCTGGTCTGAAGGAAAGCAATCCCTTAGGCAAAGAGTCCTAGGCCCAGTTTGTGCTGAGCTGCACAGCGTGACCCAAGGTCACAAGCACGCACGCTTGGCCTGTGGGAGTGTGCGCGGCAGCTGTAGGGAGCACAGCAGAGATGCGAGCAGAGGAAATCCTTGATGTGCGGGGCTGCAGCAGGTGCCGGTGGTGAGGCTGCTGGGAGCCGTGGCCGGGGAGCAGATGCACCTGCAGCAATGATTCCTCTCACTGCCCTGCTGCTGCGCTGTCAGAGCGCCCTGGGCGAATGCATCTGCTGCTTTGTGCCAGTCCCCATCTGCTAGCAGAGGGACAGCCGCTTGGTCAAATGCTGCCTAATGGGCTGTCCCATTTGAACGGAGTGAACAGAGTGGTTGCTTCTAGAGCACCCGCCTGTGCCAGAGGATAGCCAAGGGTAGTTCTGAAGAAGTCTCTCAATAGTGTGGTGTGTGAAGAGAGAAAATATGAGCGTGTTTCTTTTCATTCCAGCCTGTCGTGCCTGCTGTGATGGGCATCGCGTGCAGCGAGATCAGCTGTGAGCCTGGCATGACACGGATGGAGGTAGAGTGTGGAGCTCTGATTGGTCTTTGTTCCCTGACTTGAGCCAGCAGAGTGAGCTGCAGATGTGCTCTCCTGCTTTTCAAGAGAGCGAATCCTTGCGGCTCTATCGGTGTCACTGAAAAGCTGCCTTCAAGGCTTTCTTTCCTTGCTGCGGGCATGTTCTTAGCCTTGCCGTTCCTTCTTGTGTGCCCATGATAAGGACAGAGTGCACTTCCTGCAGCTTTCTCTGCTGACATGCTCCTCAGCCTGAAATCCTCCTCGTTTGCCCTCAGCTCCTCACCGTGGCCTGTGCTCTCTGTTTCAGGCTGAGAACAACGGGAGGCCCCTGCTGGTCCGTGAGGAGTCATCTCTTAATATCCCAGCTATTGCTGCTGCCCACGTTATTAAGAGATACGTTGCCCAGGCACCGGGTGAACTCTCCTTGGAGGTAAGCAGTTAAGGGCGTTCCTTGTTGTCCTGTACAGCAGAGTATAACGTGTGAAGCTCTCAGGAATATTCTCAGACACCTTCCGAATGTTTGGTGAGGTGAAGCTCAGAAGGTGCGGCTCCAGATTAGACTTGCACTGGGTTGGATGCAGGGAGGAGTTCAGCCATCTCTGAACTATGGCTCTATTTGGCATTGGAATCTTGTGATCCGAGAGCTACTGCCCGGTGTGGTAGCCTGGTCTCTGAGCAATGGCAGAGCAGTGTATGGAGTGTGCAGATCTGTTCAGGATCTGTTTGGCTGACTTATGCCTGCGGTTTAATTGGAGCTCTCCCTTTGGCAAAGAGCCTGCTGCTTCTGAGAACCATTTCATACTGAACAGCTGAATTCTGTATGTTGTGTATTGGAGTGACTCTTCTACTTGCACGTTCAGTTGTATGACTGCAAATGCCTGAAGAGCTGCACTGGTGCAATGGCTCTCAAGCTTGACGATATTGGGCAGTGCAGAAGAATGCAGTCATTTGAGCTGCGCTTTCCTCCCAGCCGTGCCGAAGCTGGGATTGACGTTGCAATCTCTTGCAGGTGGGAGACCTCGTGTGCGTCATCGAGATGCCGCCTCAGGAGCTGAGCCCGCGCTGGAGAGGCAAGCACGGCTTTCAGGTAGGCCCAAGCTTCAGACGTGAGAGCGCAACTTCGGTCGAGGCAGGAATCTCAGCTTAGAGCTGCCCTGCCTGCACAGCATGGCTCCACATGGAAAATGGTTTCCTTGTGCTGGTGTCAGAGGACTTTCCCTTTTGCTGTGGGCTTAGGCCAGAGCTGAAAGTTGGTCTTTGTAGGAAACTGCCTCCTCAGTTAACTTAGAAAGAAGAGCCCTCACAGCGTGCATCAGGTCACGGCCACTGAACCGCACCTTTGGAAATGCAGCAGCTAGGACACGTGTTTCAGTGTCTCTGAGCACTTGTGCTTGCACCCATGCAGAAGGTGAAGTCAGCGTCTTTTAGGAAGTCGCTGCCTGTCAGCTGAGATGAGGCAGGGTAACAGAGCCTCTGCGCGCTTGCTGCTGCTGCTGGCTGCAGAACGCTGGGTAGCTCAGAGCTGGGGATGGCAGCTGCATCTCAGTCAGCAAGCAGAAAGTTCATAGGCTGTGCCAACTCAGATCTAGCTGCATCAATCTATCATAATATGTAGCTTCTGTATGAAGTCTTTCCCTTCGGGCACGCTTGAGATTTAGGGGTGCATAGCATACTTGTCCTTTCCCCGCTCCATACACAGTTTTATGGATATTTGCCTGCCAATTTGGAATAATTATTAATTTTAAGCAGGCCATTTTTTGGTTGGATTGTCTTACGGAGCATCCGGCAGGCACGTGATGAGGAAAAGGTGATGTTTGAACAGTTCAGGCCTGAGAAACGCTGCCTTCAGTATTGCACGTCTCTTCTTCCTCTTGTTACAGGTTGGATTTTTCCCTGGTGAGTGTGTGGAGCTCATTAACGGAAAAATCCCGGAGTCTCTCATCAATTCAGTGCCAAAGCCAGGTACGATGAGACATTTGATGGTGCAGGGAAGCAAAATGGAGTCTTTTTTGGGTGTGTTCCATGTTTAATACCTCCCTTATCCTTCCCCCCTTATCCTCTGTGCTGATAATCCTTCCTGCATAGCATGGGGCGTATGGCTGGTGTTTTGTAGGCAGTGAGAATGAGGGAAGGCCAAGGCAGTTCTCCGGCAAGTCCGTACGAGGCTGAGAACAGCCAGCGTCCCTGGTGGACAGATAGAGGTCTGGTTGTGCTAGTGACACGCTTGATCAGAACGTGGCTTTTCAAGAGGGTCCTTAATGCCCAGGTTGAGCAAGCTAAGCAAGAGGAGTGCATTCAACTCCATCAGAACGTGCAGAGATTTGGCCCAGTCCTGCTGTGTTTTATGACTGGAGTTGGGGAAATCCTAGAATCCTTGTAGAATGGCTTGGCGTGGAAGGGAGCTCGAGGATCATCAAGCTCCAAGCCCCCTTGCCTCAAGCTGGGCTGCCAACCAAGCTCCACGTTTAAAGTGGGACTGGACCAGGCTGCCCAGGGCCCCATCCAGTCTGGCCTTGGACTCATCCAGGGTTGGGGAAAATCCATTTTGGTACGCACTTGCTCATCATGTTCTTCCCGTTTTGAGGTGCTCTGTAGAATGTGTTGTGCTCGGCCTCGTCCAACGGAGCCAAACCTGAGATGAACTGGTTTCTTCCTTTTGTTGTGCAGTGCCAAAGAAGCGCGGCAAGCTCCTCACCTTCCTTCGTTCCGTGGTGAAGGCCCGCCCAAAGCAACGGAAAGAGCAGGAGGTGGAGAAGGAGAGGGTGTTTGGCTGTGACCTGGGAGAGCATCTTCTTCACTCTGGTCGTGATGGTAAGGGACAGCCCATTCCTGAGAGCTTCCCTGTTTGAGAACCTAACGATGAAAGGGAGATGGTATGTAGCAAGGGGCAGGTTGATACCAGTGGAGAAACGGGGAATGGGAGTTGATGGCTGAAAGATGAAGTGAGGCTAATGCTCCCAAGAGACAAGCACGTTTGTATTTGCTTCAGCCAAGCCCGGCTGGGCTTAGTGGATGGGATGTGACGGGAGCGCAGCCTGAGGCAGGACTTGACTAAGGAGCTCCAGTAACCGCCGGCACGTGTTCTTTAGTCCCCCAGGTCCTCCAGAGCTGCGCCGAGTTCATCGAGCAGCATGGCGTGGTGCAGGGGATATACCGCCTGTCCGGCGTGGCGTCCAACGTCCAGAGACTGCGGTAAGAGTGCTGCGACTGACAGACACAGCTGCCAGCAGGGGCACGTGCCCTGTTGCGGGCGTTCAGAGGCCTGCGGGCAATGCCTTAGCACAGAGAAAAGGTCTCCTTTGGGAACATCCCATCCAGCACGGCTGACGTGGTGCTGGTGGCCGAGTGTTTGTGTTCTCCTGTACATCAGGAAGCCCTTCCAACTCTTGATTGCATTGGGTGTGGCTTTTGACTTGCTTTCCTCTTTCTCAACCGCTTTCGTGTCCTTCTCTGCAGCCAGGAATTTGAGTGTGAGCAGGTTCCTGAGCTAACCGTCCGCGACGTTCACAGCGCGAGCTCCCTCTGCAAAATGTACTTCAGGGAGCTCCCGACCCCCCTGCTGACCGACCAGCTGTATGACAAGTTCTCGGTAAGCACGAGGCAACGCCTTTCCTTTCCCTCTTCGCTGGGCCTCTTGGGAGATGGCTGCAGCAGGGCCCCGGCTCTGAGGCCCTTCTTCTGTTAGCCCCATGGGGTTTACTCGCATGTCTTTGCCACATCCTGCATCGTGCTGATGCCGCTTCTGGTGGCCCCAGGAGGTGGTTATTTCCATATTCACAGTGCTTGCGAGAATTCCTGTCTTGTTTGTTTGTTTGTTTGTTGCTATTCCCCAGCTATTTCTGGAACAGGAAGGGGATTAATAGCCAAGCGTACTTGGAGATGAATGCCCCCTGCGAGGAGCTGAGCTGCCCAACCAGGCTGTAAACCGGCCCGGTGCTTGGACTCCTTGGCCTTGGTGGCACCAGCTGCGTGCCGCTATGTTTGCCATAGGGAGGCCTAAAATCTTTCTCAGTGCTGACCAGCAGCGCGCTGTGCCCATGGTTCCCGACCCTGCGGCAGGTATCTCGCCTGATTTGTGTCTCAATCCCTTTCTGCCCTTTTCCAGGATGCTGTTGGTGCCACTACAGAGGAGGAGCGGCTGGTCAGAATGCGGGACGTCATCCAGCAGCTGCCCGCTCCTCACTACAGGTCAGTGCTGCCCTCAGCCTGCTGAGCTCAGCCCTGCTGCACTTCAGAGGGCAATGGTGCGATTCCAGGCTTTGTCTCACGTGTGCAACACGATGCCTGGGTATGTTGAAGCGGTTGAAGGCTGCACCGGTTTAATTTACAGGGTTAATTTATTGGGTCAGTTCCTGGGCACGGGGGTAGGCTTGGTGCAGCTGATGGCTGTGGCTGTGCTGTGCTGGTGCTGGGTGCTGCAGCGTGGCACTTGGTCAAGTTGGATCTACTTCAGCATCAGTAGCAGTAATAACAACTAGTGTGAATTGAGGTTTGCTTTGTGAGTGGCAGCACGGCATGCTGGCTGGTGCTGAACATTTGCCTCTCTTGTTTCCCAGGACCCTGGTGTTCCTGATGAGACACTTGGCCTGTCTTGCTGCAAACAGCTCTGTCACCAACATGCACGCTAAGAACTTAGCCATTGTGTGGGCTCCAAACCTCCTAAGGTAAACTTCTTTTTCCGTTTCAACAGAACGCTTACATCTGTTCTCCAGTAGAATAAAGCAGTCCTCCCTTCTTCTGCACCACATGTGCTCTTCTCCTGTAAAATGTGCAGTGAGTGGCTGACAGCAGAGCAGGAGCCTGGACTGTTCTCCAACCCCGCGTGGGCACAATTTCTAGCTGAGCATTGCTGCTCTCTTGTTTAGATGGGACTGGTGTGTCCTTGATCAGACAGGAGAACTTCTTCAGTGGCATCTCTTATATGCCCGCTGCGGAAGTCTCCTGAGAACAAATGTGACAGCTTTGGGCTGCAGTAATTCAGACCTGGGGAGGCGATCTTGGCTGAATGACTTCTAAAACCTGCCTTTTCTACAGATCACAGCAGAGCGAGTCTGCCTGCGCCAGCGGGAGAGCTGCCTGCACGGAACTGCAGACGCAGTCGGCTGTGGTGGAATTCATCATCGACCACACAGACGTCCTCTTCTGCTCCACATCCGGATCGGACATTGCAGATGGAGCAGGTGAGTGTCTTCCTCCATTAGCTTTATCTTGGTCAGACACCTGGATCAAATGCAGGCCTTTTCCAAGTCCTTTGAAATACACTTTTCCTGTCGAGGGAACAGCAGACTTCTGGGCTTAGATTGGAATCTGGCGTCCAGTTGCTGGATGCTGAGAATGTGCAAGCCCAAACTTGACAAGGAGAAAAAACCATCACTGTCATTATGATGTTTTGCAAGCAGGTGAAGCTTGATTAACGTGTGGCAGCGGAGCTTTCTCAGTTCCCTGCCCCCATTTTCTAGGGTTTTTGTTTGCCTGTTTCGATACAGGGAGCTGCTCTTAATGATGACTGCGTCCTTTGCCATAGACACACCTCTGAGCACATGGTTGTTTTGAGCTGCTCTTCTTCCAGTGGCTCGGTTAAGCAAGTCTGAGGAAAACACAGCAGCTCCCCCGGACCTGGGATGGCTGTGCTGCCGCTTTCTGATCCTGGCTCTCACCTGTGGTTTTCCCTTCCAGGGCACAATTCTCTCTCAGGGCCCCAGTCTGTGCGGACCTCTTACCCTGCCACAGAGCTGCTCAGCCTGGAGGAGGCGCAGGCACGGAGGCGAGGCCGCAGCAGCTCTCCTGTCGCTGTGACAGAGAGCAGTGACATAGAGGTGGAAGAAGGCCCCACAGCTGTACGGGGGAAATTCCACACAGTCATCGACTTTCCACCTGAAAGGTAAAGAGGACTTTGTTTTCCAGCAGCTATCATCACTGTTTGGGTGGGTTGTGTTTCTTCTGTCTCCATTATTTCTAGTGCCTAAACTTGTGGAAATTAGATTTAATGAATGGTGCCTGAAGTGTTGCAGTGAATCTCCCCTCCCTTTGGACTGTGAGATTCAACTAACATTGAGTTGCCCGCCGGGCTCAGTTTAGCCTCACAACGGTGCCGTTCCTTCCTTGCTGGGCAGGCAGTGACGAGATGCACAAAGCCACGCTGACGTCTACCCTGGCCTGTGCTGGCTGTACCTGGAAAGGTTGGGGTTTTCCAGATTTCAGAGCCTCGTGCCTGAATCCAGTTCTGGTTCTCCTCTACGCAGAGCTGTTGGTCAGACCTGCTGACACTAGAAACTAGACATGGCAGTGAAATGGGCTGATGAGCTGTCAGTGTCAGAGTCAGAGATGCTTTTGAAGTTCCTTTATGGCTGTGCAATTGCTCAGCCAGCAGTTATGCCTGCCTACTCAATCAAAGCCACCCTTTGATGCTGTCCTGTACAGGTGTGGAGCCTGTGGACCTCACATGCTCTGCATCTTGCTTGACACAGTTGAGGGGAATTTAGCCAGCAAGACTTCAGGGCTGAGCTATAGGAATGGAACCATCCTCAACTGCTTGAAATGGAGCGAGTTTCTAAGCTGTGTTTCAGCAGGAACCAGGCGGTGCTAGGAACAAGCAACTGTTGGCACGAGCTCAGTGCAGCTCTTCCCTCACCCTGCGCCACGCACGACTCCCACCATTCCCTGTTTTCTCTCTCCAGACCAAGTCCACCCAGCAAGATAAAGGAATCACCAGCTGGCTGTTGGTGTTCCTGCTTCAGCCTGGGGAAACCATCGTCTGGGGCCAAACGCCAGCCACAGCACCATCCCAGGGAGCCCTCAGAAATAGAAATCGTAGTGCTGGCAGGTAAGGGTGCAAATCCAGCTTTCAACGCCTTGCTTTTCAGCAACATAGAATTCTTGCTGTCAGTGGGCTTGTATCTACTTCCAGCGTTCCAACCCATACCTAACACCTTTAGTTCTCCCCTGATCAAGAACCCCTTTTGTAATTCAGCTTGTGAAAGTTTGGCGCTAACCCCCTGTGTATCCTTCCTAGATGAACTGAGCCCTTGTCCACCCAGAAGAGCTGGAGAAAGTAGCGAAGCTGGGCTGTGTGCTTCCACCAATGGAGAGCTCTTGGGAAGCACAAATGGCTGCGGATCACGTGACAGCCTTGCACGTAACAACAGTGATGGAGAGAGGGAGCTCATCCAAGTTGAAGCCCTCATTTCTCCCGGCTGTGCTGAAGATGCTGACCTGTGCCCACCAGGCACCGCAGTCACCAGCCTGGACTGTGACCCGGCACCTTTGCAGTGCAGCCCAGCCCAAGTACAGTCCGAGTGCCCCGACAGCAACACCTCTGTGCAGGAGCAGGTCAGCATCACCGAGGAGGAGCAGCAGAGCCTCTTGGAGGGGGGCGTACAATCAGGCCTCCAGTCCCAGGCACCGTGCAGCATCTCTGAGAGCTCTGAGCCACTCTCTACGTGATCTTTCCATCCAAGAGAGGACGATTCCCATCTTTACCTGGACCTCTCACGCCCTCCTGTGTTTTCCTTTAATAATAAAAGCGCACTTATACTCACTCAACGCCTTGAGTGCCTGTGGAGTCTTCATTCACGAGGACTGGGATGAATGCGGCACACAGCAAGGCACCTCAGCTGGCAACGCTGAGGCTGCAGGGTGCACGAAGCAGAGCTCTGGGTTATTTCCCATTCTGTCTGGCTTTGGGATGTCTGCAGGTCCCAGTTGGTACGGTAGCAAATAATCTCTAGCATCCTGGATTCTGCTCGTGGTGACCCCAAGCTTCCTGGCGGTGGCTTTGTGATGCCTTTCAGGGCTTTTGGATGCACTGTGATGCCTTGGCTGCTCCCTAGCACCTCTCTCCTCCGGCAGCATCCGTTCCTTGAAGGAATCAGCAGCTGGCTGTTGGTGTTCCTGTTTCAGCCTGGGAAAACCATCTTCTGTGGCCAAACGCCAACTGCAGTGCAATGCCAGGGAGCCTGCAGAAATGCAAGTCGTAGTGCTGGCAGGTAAGAGTGCAAATCCTGCTTCCAAAGCTCTGCTTTCCAGCAACATAGAATGCATGCTGTCACTGGGCTTGATTGCCCTTCTAGCGTTCCAGAACATACCTGACACCTTCAGTTCTCCCCTGATCAAGAACCACTTTTGTAATTCAGCCTGGGAGAGTTTGACACCAACCCCTGTTCATTCTTTTATAGGTGATTTGTGCTCTTGTCAACCGAGCAGAGCCAGAGCATGTAGTGATGCTGGGCTGTGTGCTTCCACCAATGGAGAGCTGTTGGGAAGCACAAATGGCTGCGGTTCAGCTGACAGCCTGCCGCATAACAACAGTGATGGAAAGAAGGAGCTGATCCAAGTTGAAGCCCTCATTTCTCCCGGCTGACACAAAACTGGGCAGAGTGGCTGACACAGCAAAAGGCTGTGCTGCCTTCCAGCGAGACCTGGAGAGTTGGGTGGGGAGAAACGGAATGAGAAAGAACAAGGGCAGGTGTGGAGTCTTGCATCTGGGCAAGAGCAACCTGAGTACCAGTATAGGTTGGGGGCTGAGCTCTTGGAGAGCAGCGTAGGAGAAAGGGATCAGGGGATCCTGGTGGGCGGTAGGAGGAGCATGAGCCAGCACTGTGCTCTCGTGGCCAAGAGGGCATCGTGGGGTGTATGAGAAAGAGTACGGATAGGAGGTGGAGAGGTGCTCTTTCCCCTCTCCTCTGCCCTGATGAGTGGAGCATCTCCCTGTGAGGAAAGGCTGAGAAAGCTGGGTCTCTTTAGCTTGGAGGAGACTGAGGGGTGACCTCGTTGATGTTTATAAATGTGTGAATAGTGAGCGTGAGGAGGATGAAGGCAAGCTCTTCTCAGTGACATCCAGTGATAGGACAAGGGGCAATGTGTGCAAGCTGGAGCATAGGGGGTCCCACATAAATCAGAGGAACAACTTCTTCACGGCAAGGGTAACAGAACACTGGGATGGGCTGCCCAAAGAGGTTGTGGGATCTCCTGTGGAGACATTCAGCAGCTACCTGGACATGTTCCTGTGTGCCCTAATCTAGGTGATCCTGCCCCAGCAGGGGGATTGGACGAGGTGATCTTTGGAGGTCCCTTCCAATTCCTGACATTCTGTGACTCTGTGCAAAGTTGGTTCACGGTAGTACTTTTGCTGCTGGGAAATAGGAGCGCTGATCTTTGGGGTAAGTTCAGCAAGGTGGACTCCCCTAAGCTGATACTGACTTCATCCTATAGCGTTGACTTCTGTCGTGATTTATTCCATGCCAGAAGTTCCGGATGCTGTCAGGAGTTATTCAAGCCCATTGGTGTTAATCTGAGCCTGGACTGGCTGCTGCTTGACATGCTGTCTGCACAGAGGTAACACATGCATTAATTTGTTTCCTGTCCTCTGCTGTTTTGTCTCTTGTTTTTAGTTAATGCTGAAAACCCACCTACGGCTGTGGTTGGGAAATTGGTTCACTTGCTCGATCGGACCCAGATTTTCAGGAGGAGCTGGAGCTAATGAAACTGTGTGAGGAAGCTGTGACCTTGATCCGATCTAATCAACAGCTTGAAAATGACCTCAATCTCATGGACCTGAAGATTGGACTGCTAGTGAAGAACAGAATGACACTGCAGGTAGGAAATGCAGTGCTGGGAGACGAGCAGAGTGAATTGAGGCCAATGGCAGTTAGCATGAGGACCTTCGGAGCCTGGATCTCACTTACTCAGATGCAGTGGGAAGTATTTCCCCCCGAGTTACAGGTTTTCCTCCCAGTAAGTTCCTAACTGTTCCACTTATTACTATGTATCCCTAGAAAGAGAACTGCAGCAGAAACATCAAGGCTTCAAGTGTTTTAAAAACAAAGCACCAGAAAAAAACCCACTGGGGACCAAGGGAAAGCAATAGATGGTATGCTTGAAGGCTCTGAGAACTGTTTGTCTCTTCACTTGTGGTTACGTGAGTCATGGACTTGCACACCTTAATTTCTTCTCACGTTTTGTGTGCTGTATCAGAGGGGGAGGTGATTTTGGAGCAGGAAATGTGCTCAGGCTGTTTGGTGTTGGTTGGCTGATGGAAGCCCCCTCTGTCACTTTGCTGACGATTGATTGCACACAAGAACAACGTTGCTGATACAGCGGTGCCTTTTTTTAACTCAAGCTGAAGTTACAGTCACCTTTTCCTTTGGTCCTGAATAGCGTGGCGCTAGGCTTGACCTTGTGTAAAATCTGAACCATGGCAGCAGTGAAGTTCAGTTCCAAAGGGGGCTCCAGCTCCTGGGCTGATGCTGGCAGCAAAAAGTATCATAGTTATCAGAGCAGTGGAGGCAGGGAGTCAGCAAAATGGAAGCAGGGCTTGGGGCTTCAAGCACAGTTGAGAAAGAAAGGCATTTTCAAGCATCTTCAGAACGCTACCAGCTGTGACAGTAGTCCCTGCTCAAAGCAATTAGTCCTTGTAGGTTCTCACCCAATTCTGGAATGTGGGGACAAGACAGAAATCGCTGCTACAACAGATAATGTTTCACTTCACGATCTCCTGATGTACCTTGACTGCCTTATCCACCCAAAAGGAAGTGCTATCGTGCAGCTTTTTCCCATATTGCGTGTTATTTAAATGTGGAATCTGTCCCTCTGTGTTCTTTGCAGGATGTTGTTTCTCATAGCAAAAATCTTAGCAAGGAGAACAAGGAACAGCTCTGTGACGTGGTGACGCTGAACGAGCAAAAGGGAGGTTTGCAAGCTTGGAGCAAAGAGGAGAGGGAAAAGCTGGAAGCCTATCAGCATCTTTTCTACTTGAGGTATGCAGCTTTTCATTCACTGCTCTTGTCATAGATGCTTACGTGTATTGGAACAGTCTGTACTTCTGCACTGCAGTGTTGAGGCGCTGTCTGTCTTTGTGGTGTTGGCTTTTGTGGACACGTGCTGTATGGGAACTGCTGAGTCATGGCCTGAACCTCTGATTGATCACCTGAGGCGAGCAGTGAGTCAGGCAGAGGAGCACAGGTGAAGGCAATGCAGCTGTGCTGCTGGAAGGGGTGCAGCCAGGCTACAGCCCTCCTAGACCTGTTTAAGAGCTGGCTACCAGTGGGGAAGGATCTCGTCTGCAGATCTGCTCTGCTGGAGTTTTGTAAGTGAGCCCAGGATAGGGGTAAGCCTTCTATTTATTCTCCTTTTGTTAGCTTAGTCTGCTTTGTCAAACTCTCTTGTTTATTTCATAATGACAACATCTTAATAGTCATTGATTATACACGTGCACTAAGTACTTTTTCTTCTTATTTTAGACTACTCCAACGTACTTGGCCAAGCTGCTTTTGCAGATGCCTCAAAACAAACCCACAGAGTTCATGGATTCAGCCATCTTCACGCTGCATAACTACGCATCCAGTCAGAGAGAGGAATCTCTGCTGTTGCGGCTGTTGCAAACAGCATTGCAGGAAGAGATCAAGTACGTTGTAGCATAGGACACAGCCTTGCTGTTGCCTGAGTTTGGGCCGCTGCTAAAATTGCAGCTGTTGTTGTGTGATGTCCCGTGCTCATTAGCTGATAATGCTGACCTGTCCCTGCCTTCTGCTCATGCTGTTTCACGTCAGTCCTTTCTGTAACCTGGAAGGAGGAGGAATTACCTTTGTTCTTTAGGATTAAAGCCATTTTTCTTTAGCCAGTGCTTTCTTGCTCAGGGAGGCACTGTTTTTGATCTACTGCAGTGCTTTCCTAAGATTCATTCCCATCTAAGTTCTCTGCTGTCTAGTAAGAAGGACTTGGCACAGACTGCGAGCTTGGGCTTTACAGGCCAGAGTGAAGCTGACGCGAAGGTCACTGTTTTCCAAAACTGATGAGGAGGCTGAAAATCAGATGCTGTCTGGTTTGGGTTTTTTCCTGGCTGTCAGGCTTAAAGATTCTGGCTGTCTGTCGGCATAATTGAGTTGATTGCCACTTAGGAGTTTGGTGTTTATGACTTCTGGCTGATACGGAGCTTCACAACTTGCTAGGAATAGCAAATACATGTAATGTTGGAGGCAGTCATGCCTTTTTTGATGTTTTTAAGTGTGAGGATGGTATGTGCCCTCCAACAGGTAACGCCTAAAAGGTTTGTTTAATTATTATTATCTTTTCTTGGAGTAGTAGTTCAGGAAAGTGCATGTCTATGCTTTATTCTCTGCTGCTGGATTTCCCATAGCGGCATGCTGTGAATGGCTTTTGTTGCTGATTGCTTACTTGTTGAAATACTGAGAGGAAATAGTTGTGCCTGTGTAGAAGTCCCTTTGTTTCCTCTGTATTTTTGAGATGCGCTCTTTCAACCGTGGTGCCCGTGGTCAGAACGCACTGAGGCAGATCTTGGCCCCAGTTGTGAAGGAAATAATTGAGGACGAATCGCTCAACGTCAGAACGGATCCAGTGGATATTTACAAGTGCTGGGTGAACCAGATGGGATCTCAGAATGGTGAGGCCGGGTATGGAAGCTGTTGCTACTGTTTTTTTTCTGAAAGTTGCTCAGCTGCTTTGCATTGCTCTGTTAATCGTTCTGAACCATCCCTGTATTCATTGCATGCATCTGTCCAATTGCTACCAGCTTTTTTCCATCAGCTCGAGATGGCTTTCTTCTGAAAGGTATAAAGATCACAGAATTGTAGGGGTTTTAAGGGACCTCCAGAGATCATCGAGTCCAACCCCCCTGCCAAAGCAGGTTCCCTACAGCAGGTCGCACAGGTAGGCATCCAGGCAGGTCTTGAACATCTGCAGAGAAGGAGACTCCACCACCTCCCTGGGCAGCCTGTTCCAGTGCTCCGTCACCCTCGCTGTAAAGAAGTTCTTGCGCATGTTTGTGCGGAACTTCCTATGCTGCAGTTTCCAGCCGTTTCCCCTTGTCCTGTCTCCACTCACCACTGAAAACAGTCTGGCCTCACCATTCTGCCCCCCACACCTTAGCTATTTATAGACCTGGATCAGGTCCCCTCTCAGTCTTCTTTTCTCAAGGCTGAACAGACCCAGTTCACTCAGCCTTTCCTCATAGCAGAGATGCTCCAGGCCCTTCACCATCTTCGTGGCCCTCCGCTGGACTCTTTCCAAGAGATCCCTGTCTTATTTGTACTGGGGAGCCCAGAACTGGACGCAGTAGATCATCTTGTGACAGGGGTGTTGAGACTATGAGAAGTGAATCTCATGAAGAGATAGGCCAAAAAAAGCCCCAAAGCATTTCTTCTGTGTTAACTCATAGATAGAGATACCGTAGCTCTTACTCTACCAAGCCAATCTCTGCCCACAACTCGGGCAGGCTGCCCAAGGAGGCTGTGGATGCCCCATCCCTGGAGGCATTCAAGGCCTGGCTGGATGTGGCTCTGGGCAGCCTGGGCTGCTGGTTGGTGAACCTGCACGCAGCGGGGGGTTGGAACGAGATGAGCATTGTGCTCCTTCTCAACACAGGCCGTGTTCATAGAATCACAGCATGCAGCTGTTCCTGTCTGCCCATGAGAAGGTTTCATCCACGTGGTCATCCTGGTTGGTTGGCCTGTAGATCCCCCGCTACGTCATCTGTCCCTGTCCTCCCTTTAATCTGTGTCTATAAAGTCTTGATGGGCTCCCATCCGTCCCCAGTCAGAGTTCTGTGTTTCTTCCAGTGCTTGATGTTGACCAGATTTTGAGGATTTTGTTGTTGGTTGTATTTGTTTTGTTTTTAAGGCACTTCAAGGGAAGTGGTGGAAAAGCAATGCTATGAAGTAAAAGACAACTGTCCCAGCGCAGCACGCTGCGTGAGTTACTATCTTAACACTGCAATGTGCAGCTTGTGTTTTCACTGATTTATTTGCGACCTGAGGTACTACTGCGTATCGCAGGTGACCTTCTTGACTCTAGAGAGCGTGTCTGCATGTGGTACAGAAAGATACAGTTCAGAGTTAGCTGGGCCTGTTCTCACAGCGACTGCTGCAGGGACAGCAGAGGACGTGAGAAGTCCTTTGCTCTTTCAGTGCTAGCATTGTAATGAAAGTGAAAGCGTGCAGCTCTTTGCAGCCAGGTGAGCGTGGATCTGTTTGTGTGTCAAGCCAACAATTCTGCCTGGCACTGACAGAAGTATATTAGGCTGAGGAGTGCTCACCTTCACATCTGACTTTTCCAAATAGCAAGTTGCCGTACGATGTTGCACCTGAACAAGCTCTTAATCACGGTGAGGTGAGGACGCACCTGGATGCCTCAATCCGAGATGTGAAGGCAGTGACAGACAAGTTCCTGTCTGCCATCGTTGTTCAGCTGACCAAATCCCGTAAGTCTGGTGTGTCACCGCGTTATCCTGCAGCAGTTAATAGTGGGTTCATCCGTGAGGAATTCTCACTTGCCTTTTATTTCCTTTGAAGTTACGGGATGCGTTTCATCGCCAAGGTACTGAAAGACTCCCGGCATGACAAGTTTCCTGATGCTGGCGAGGATGAGCTTCTGAAGGTAAGGAGCTGAGCAGCTCTGTGAATCATTGTCTGCCACGCTGACTGCAGCAGATGCATCTCAGTGTTGTTTGTTGGGTGTACGTGTGCAGAGAAGTTTCAAAGCTGCAGTTTAAGTAGACAGGCTATTTGTTGTTATGGGTATAAAGTACTTTGCCCTGTGCTTTGGATTGCTGGATACATGTTTGTCAAAGGAGACATAATACAGCGTTCAGAAGAAGTCACCCTATTGCTTTTCCTTTTGCTTTTAATATCTTGGGCATTGTGCCCCCTAGGTTTCTTGGCTTTGGGATGCTCTTGCTGCTGAATGGTGCACCTTGGTTTTGCTGGTGTTATCTGAGTCAGTTGCTCTTTTTTTAAAGAGACAGTGTGCCAAGTTGAAAAGGCCCGTGTGCAGAATTCTACTGTTCTCACTTCCCTTACAATATTCTAGGGCATTACAGTAGCTGCAACAAAGTATATGGTGTCATTTTTCATGAGGTGTGGGCAGTTTTGTGTTGTACATTTCCGTACTTTGGAGAACGAAAAGGATGTTAGTAGTAAATGCTTCCAAATGAGCACAGCATTGTGGCTTTCATTGGAATTGTCCTGGCTCTTGTTATTTTGAAGGTCTTTCTGTCTGTGAGTGCTCTTCTTCTTAATAAAACAAAGAGTGGCTTTGACATTACTTGCCACAGTCTCTTTAAGCTTTTCTGTCTCTGCTTCATTACGAAGTAATTCCCAATCTGAATGCCGTTTTCTTCTCTCTTCTGATTCCGTGCTTTCCCGTTCTGAGGCATCGATTCTTTCTGTGCAGGTGATTTCATTTTTTCCATCTGTAAATGTAGGTGGAAAGCTGCAGTTTTTATTAATCCTTGTGGAAACAATGTCACGGCCCATGCCGCACTCTGAACTGCAGCTGCGTGCGGTGACTGCCTGTAGATGCATTAGGGCCTAAAACTACTCCTATAGTGTACTGTTCTTGTCTTCCTACTACATGTTTTACTATTATCAATATGATTTCTCTCACAAATGTGTTTCTTATGACTGGTAGTGAACAGTTTTGTCTGTTGTGACCATGTGCCGTCACCTGGGATAGTAGAGCAAGAGCTGAAACCGCTGTCAAAACCATGACCTCTCTGAAAGCAGTTAATTTCTGGGGCAGCTTAGCAATGGCGAAGCTTCTTCTTTCTGTTTTTGCCATTTCTTCACACCTCTGATCTCTTCTGTGCATTCAAATCGCACGTGAAGCAGGAGAAGCCCAGATTCTGTGACTTGGCTCTGCACAGATTGATGTGAAACTCCAGGAAATACTGAAGCATGTGGCGTGGGAACTTTTGCTGCATGTCAGCGTGCTGGGCCAATGCCTTTTTGTTGTGGGAATTACTGCAGGCAAATGTCCAATACGGGTTAGAAGTAGATGGATGAGCACGTGGATAACGGGCTGTCTTTATCTTTGGGGCCTCGGCGTTCATTGCTGCTCACTTAGCTGGTGAATTGGACTTCTTTTGAAATGTCAAATACCGCTCATCTTCGGTACTTCTGAGTTTCTTACTTCTGGATTAAATGCACCGTTGTGCATTTATTTAGTGTATGTATCTATGTTGCAGTGTGAAACTAAGATTCTTTGGGACAGCATGTGCTTATTAATGGCAGCGCAGTAGACCCTGCATCTGGAACGGGGCCCACAGCTCACAGGAAAGTAATTGGTCAGAACTCACTCGGAGTAGTGTCAGTAAAACTCAGTGGAGGTCTGTGCCATTGGTTTTCCACGTGTTTTTTTCTCTCCTCAACTTGTCCTAGATTGTTGGGCAACTTACTCTATCACCGCTACGTGAATCCGGCCATGGTGGCACCGGATGCATTTGACCTAATGGATCTTCAGCTGGAGGGCAGCTGACTGCAGATCAACGAAGAAACCTTGGCTTGTTGCAAAGATGCTGCAGCATGCAGCGTCCAGCAAGATGCTCATGGGGAGACGTGCACACCTGAGCATCGTGAAGGAATACTTTGTCACAGTCCATCCCAGAAATTCAGGTAGAAGACTTGAGCTGATTGTGTTGAGGAGTTTGTCAGTGGACAGTGTTGCAAACAAAGAGGAGTGATGAATTTTAAATGTAATAAATTCCATCTCCGTCAAAAAGGAGGTCTGTTGAAATGAGAGATTGCCCTTTGGGCTTCCACAATCATTGATCATAATGACATATAAAATACGTAGCTGGAATTGACAAACTAGATATAGTATATTAATGAGCTGGTCCAAACAATTGGCTTTGCCATACAAGCCTCCAGAGTAAAGGCTGTTTTTCTATGTGTTTATTATGATATTCTGGCCATTGAAAACCTAGAGTGTGCGTGCGTTCTTTCCTATATGCACCCTAGTTCTCTGTATGCAAACTAGATGGCACTTTGGATTAAAGCAGGCTGGAATTTAGTTGTTTGTATAATCAAGTAACTTTTGAATGAAGAGCTTCTTTATATCTTTCATCTTTTGTAAGAAAGAAAACTGGAATGGCTGGGAGTGAGGATTATTCTTGCAGCTGAGACAGAAGGATGGGTGCACAAGGTCATTCGGTCCATGGACTTGTCCTGCAGATGCTTACAGTGAGCGAATGCCAACATGGCCAGTACCCAATAACTGAATCTTCTAGATGGCTTTTGATGTGATAAGCTATAGCTTGTCCAATTGCAGTATGCTTGGGAACCATGGTTTGAAGAAGAAACAGCTACTGGTATGCTGATTACCTTTTTCTCCTTTTTCTTTTCTTTTTTTTTTTTTTTTAAGACTCTTTTTTCACAAGGTTGCTTGTGAGGTTCCTGAATTGCAGGATCAATTCAGTATTGATGAATATTCCTGGCTTCCTTCCTTGTCTATCCCTTCTGCAGAGCTTATAGCCATCAATCTCAACGCTCCAGTCATGGGAGCAGTCCCACCATGTTTCAGTAACAGTAGCTAGATCGTAGTTAGCCTGGTGCACAATGGCTTCCAGTTTCCTCCTGCTTGTTGCTCATGCTGCGTGCATTGGTATAGGTGCACTTGAGCCAAGTCATTTGCCTGACTCCAGCTCTAAAATCGTTCCGCCAGGCTCTTCTCTTGTGAGGCCTGTACTGTCCCCTTCCCCCGTCATAATTAGTTGATTGCACAGGAAGAAAAGCTTGATGTCTGTGCCAAGGGAGACGTACACCGCACTTGCGCTGCCTGGACGATGTGGAAACTGGAAATTGTGGGGTGTGCTGAAGCATGCCCTCTCAGGTCAGTCTAAGCATACACAGAGTAGACCTGTCTAGCAAAACAGGGAATAGACAGTTAAACCCATTCTGTTGGAAATACTCTCTCCTTCTAAAGTACCTTTAGAATGTGAGTTTCTTCAAGTAATTACTCAACTCATTTGCTTTTCCTGAATGATCCTAAGTTCTTTTCTCAGGCGACATCTGCACTCTGCTCAGTCAAGGAGAAATCCCTGCCCGCAGATGCAATGACACAGCGTGGCTCACCACCTCATTTTTCATTGCTTACTGTTATGGTAGCTGCCATCCATGTCCACCCTGCGTATTCTTAGAGCTCTACTGGTGTCCATGGGCAGACTAATGGTTGAACTAAAGGGAATTTTTTCATATTGCTCTAGCTCCAGATGATTATCCCTAGTATCATTATATTTAAAAAAAAAAAGGCGTTTGAAGTAGCGCGATATATCTTCTGTGCCTCAGAATGTGGCACGTGTGGCATGAGAGAGTTTTGAGGCCACGAGGACTGCCCAGACAGCATGAGAACTGTAAGAGCAGCAAGGAGCTATAGGTGATGCAGCGCTATTGGTGCCAACCCGCAGGAAGCGGTAGCTGGAACAAAATATGGCCAGAAGAGTGATCAGATTGCGTTTGGTAAGGAACTATTTCCTTAGTTGTAGAACTTTGACAAAATGTATATTCAGGATGATGATCAGCATGCCAGGTGCTGGGACCATGCCGAAAGAGAAATGGTCTGAAAACGTCGGTGCCATTTGCAATATATCCCCTTCCACAAAGTCCTCAGATCCATGCTGCAACTGCATCCAAAGCAACCCAGAGCCCTGTGCTTGTTGTACCCGGAGCTGTCGGTGCCAGGAGTTGCTGCTGTGTTTGCAAGGACGTTGTGTCAGCAGTGTGCCGTCAGTGGGGTTGTTTGATGGCAATGATACCGCTGAATGGTGTACCTCAAGACTCAGAAAGAAGGTGGTAGTGGTGACTGTGTGTCTGGGTATAGACAGCTTGATACAGATCGATAGGACTGCAGTGTGGATTGTACCTAGGCCCTGCGCTGCGAGGTACGCTGTTGGGAAGCAATGTCCATCTGCCGAGGGCAGGAAGGCCCTGCAGAGGGACGGCCTGAGGCCAGCCGTTACGAGGACTGCACAGGAGCAAGCACTGGGTCCTGCGCTGTGGTCATGACAACCGCATGGCAGCTTGTGCCAGGATTGGGCTGAGGTAGGATTCAACGGCCCGCTGATTCTAGAATGTTGGGTGCGGTGTGGAATCTTCTGGTCCTGTGACATGGTCTTGCCTCCCCACCCTGTCGTCATGGCGGAGCAGCCTGGTGGCCCTTAGTGATGTCACAAGAGGCTGGAATGAGGGGAGGAGCAGTGCGTGCTGCGTCCCTTCATTGGAGCGCTTTGAGCTCTGCTGTGAGTAGCTCGCTTGTTGCCCTTGTGCAGCGACTCAGTGCCTTCGTTTTCAACCCTTGTGTCTTGTGCAGCATCTTGTAGGTAAGCTGAGACAGCGTGGGATGGACGGGTGGGCAGTGAGCTGTGGAAAACTGCTGGCTGGTGGAGCTCCTAGCAGCTCGTACTGCTTACTCTTGTCCATCAGACGTAACTTTCAGCCAGTACCTGCATTCCCAAGCGATCCACAAAGATGGCATTTGTCCCGTGGCTTTTCCCTTGTCATCTTTGCTCCATTGTGCAAGCCTCACAGACCTGGTTCCTTCTCTCTCCTCTACCCGCTCCCTTGTGCAAGCTTTCGCTCGTGGAAGCACAGAGCAAAGTGACAAGAAACAGCTGCGAGTTCAAGGAATTGTCTACCTTGTTCATGATCTCCTGCCAGGTACGTGCCACGCTTTGTCCCCCACGTGGTTGACCAGCACTGTGTCGCACCATGTTTGGTACACAGCCTCACCCAGCGTTGATGGGACACTGGTCCCGTGTGGGTTTTTTCCCTTCCCCTGCAGCTCCGCCCTCAGGAGGATGCTGTGTGTGGTGCTGTGACCAGCTGGTCTGAAGGAAAGCAATCCCTAGGCAAAGAGTCCTAGGCCCAGTTTGTGCTGAGCTGCACAGCGTGACCCAAGGTCACAAGCACGCACTGCTTGGCCTGTGAGAGTGTGCGCGGCAGCTGTAGGGAGCACAGCAGAGATGCGAGCAGAGGAAATCCTGATGTGCGGGGCTGCAGCAGGTGCCGGTGGTGAGGCTGCTGGGAGCTGTGGCCGGGGAGCAGATGCACCTGCAGCAATGATTCCTCTCACTGCCCTGCTGCTGCGCTGTCAGAGCGCCCTGGGCGAATGCATCTGCTGGTTTGTGCCAGTCCCCATCTGCTAGCAGAGGGACAGCTGCTTGGTCAAATGCTGCCTAATGGGCTGTCCCATTTGAACGGAGTGAACAGAGTGGTTGCTTCTAGAGCACCCGCCTGTGCCAGAGGATAGCCAAGGGTAGTTCTGAAGAAGTCTCTCAATAGTGTGGTGTGTGAAGAGAGAAAATATGAGCGTGTTTCTTTTCATTCCAGCTTGTCGTGCCTGCTGTGATGGGCATCGCGTGCAGCGAGATCAGCTGTGAGCCTGGCATGACACGGATGGAGGTAGAGTGTGGAGCTCTGATTGGTCTTTGTTCCCTGATTTGAGCCAGCAGAGTGAGCTGCAGATGTGCTCTCCTGCTTTTCAAGAAAGCGAATCCTTGCGGCTCTATCGGTGTCACTGAAAAGCTGCCTTCAAGGCTTTCTTTCCTTGCTGCGGGCATGTTCTTAGCCTTGCCGTTCCTTCTTGTGTGCCCATGATAAGGACGGAGTGCACTTCCTGCAGCTTTCTCTGCTGACATGCTCCTCAGCCTGAAATCCTCCTCGTTTGCCCTCAGCTCCTCACCATGGCCTGTGCTCTCTGTTTCAGGCTGAGAACAATGGGAAGCCCCTGCTGGTCCGTGAGGAGTCATCTCTTAATATCCCAGCTATTGCTGCTGCCCACGTTATTAAGAGATACGTTGCCCAGGCACCGGGTGAACTCTCCTTGGAGGTAAGCAGTTAAGGGCGTTCCTTGTTGTCCTGTACAGAAGAGTATAACATGTGAAGCTATCAGGAATATTCTCAGACACCTTCAGAATGTTTGGTGAGGTGAAGCCCAGCAGATGCGGTTCCAGGTTAGACTTGCACTGGGTTGGATGCAGGGAGGAGTTCAGCCATCTGTAAACTATGGCTCTATTTGGCATTGGAATCTTGTGATCCAAGAGCTACTGCCCAGTGTGGTAGCCTGGTCTCTGAGCAATGGCAGAGCAGTGTATGGAGTGTGCAGATCTGTTCAGGATCTGTTCCGCTGACTTATGCCTGCGGTTTAATTGGAGCTCTCCCTTTGGCAAAGAGCCTGCTGCTTCTGAGAACCATTTCATACTGAACAGCTGAATTCTGTATGTTGTGTATTGGAGTGACTCTTCTACTTGCACGTTCAGTTGTACGACTGCAAATGCCTGAAGAGCTGCACTGGTGCAATGGCTCTCAAGCTTGACGATATTGGGCAGTGCAGAAGAATGCAGTCATTTGAGCTGCGCTTTCCTCCCAGCCATGCTGAAGCTGGGATTGACGTTGCAATCTCTTGCAGGTGGGAGACCTCGTGTGCGTCATCGAGATGCCGCCTCAGGAGCTGAGCCCCCGCTGGAGAGGCAAGCACGGCTTTCAGGTAGGCCCAAGCTTCAGACGTGAGAGCGCAACTTCGGTCGAGGCAGGAATCTCAGCTTAGAGCTGCCCTGCCTGCACAGCATGGCTCCACATGGAAAATGGTTTCCTTGTGCTGGTGTCAGAGGACTTTCCCTTTTGCTGTGGGCTTAGGCCCGAGCTGAAAGTTGGTCTTTGTAGGAAACTGCCTCCTCAGTTAACTTAGAAAGAAGAGCCCTCACAGCGTGCATCAGGTCACGGCCACTGAACCGCACCTTTGGAAATGCAGCAGCTAGGACACGTGTTTCAGTGTCTCTGAGCACTTGTGCTTGCACCCATGCAGAAGGTGAAGTCAGCGTCTTTTAGGAAGTCGCTGCCTGTCAGCTGAGATGAGGCAGGGTAACAGAGCCTCTGCGCGCTTGCTGCTGCTGCTGGCTGCAGAACGCTGGGTAGCTCAGAGCTGGGGATGGCAGCTGCATCTCGGTCAGCAAGCAGAAAGTTCATAGGCTGTGCCAACTCAGATCTATCTGCATCAATCTATCATAATATATAGCTTCTGTATGAAGTCTTTCCCTTCGGGCACGCTTGAGATTTAGGGGTGCATAGCATACTTGTCCTTTCCCCGCTCCATACACAGTTTTATGGATATTTGCCTGCCAATTTGGAATAATTATTAATTTTAAGCAGGCCATTTTTTGGTTGGATTGTCTTACGGAGCATCCGGCAGGCACGTGATGAGGAAAAGGTGATGTTTGAACAGTTCAGGCCTGAGAAACGCTGCCTTCAGTATTGCACGTCTCTTCTTCCTCTTGTTACAGGTTGGATTTTTCCCTGGTGAGTGTGTGGAGCTCATTAACGGAAAAATCCCGGAGTCTCTCATCAATTCAGTGCCAAAGCCAGGTACGATGAGACATTTGATGGTGCAGGGAAGCAAAATGGAGTCTCTTTTGGGTGTGTTCCATATTTAATACCTCCCTTATCCTTTCCCCCTTATCCTCTGTGCTGATAATCCTTCCTGCATAGCACGGGGCGTATGGCTGGTGTTTTGTAGGCAGTGAGAATGAGGGAAGGCAAAGGCAGTTCTCTGGTGTCACGGAGTTGATCAGATCAATCTATGTCCGTGACAGGGGCGGCAGGCCTCTGCCCTCCCCCCCCACCCCGGTCCCACAAAAAAAGTGGGAAGGAAGGAAGGGAGGAAAAGAGCAGCGGCAACAATCTATGGAGGAAAACTTATTTTACTATAATATTGGAATACAAGATAACACAATATATACAATTTAATTGAAATTGAGATTAATAAATCAAACCAGATGAGAGAGAGAGTTCCCGGGACCGATTCAAACCTGAAAAGCTTGGAACGGCCAGGAAAGCACCCTCCAGCATCCACTGCAAGGCAGCAAGAGAGCGCCCCCCCCACCCGGAAGGGCCAGATCCCGTGACTGCTGTAATGTACAGGGATAGGTAGCTGGGATTGGGGCAGTGACACTTTAATGCCCCGTACACTACATGATGTTTTGATGTGGAATACTGAAATCCAAAAACAAGAAAAGCAAAAAACAAAAACATAAAACCATGACATTCCACCCCTTATTCTACATCGTTACATCATGCTTAAAATATTATACATATATACAAACAAACAAAAAATGATTAAAATGCATACATGGCTATATACATATACATAGAATTAGTAACTGCACTCCCCCGGCATCAAGTTTCCTTGTGGTACACATTGAACATCCCCATTCTTCTGCATTACCCACCAAGTGGATCCTGGTCCCTGGGCAAAAACTGTACCACGGAGAGGTTTGCCCTTTCCAGAAGCTGGAAGAACCCAAACTGCCTTTCCTAACATGTTCTTTACATGTACAACAGGGACTTTATCTCCCTCTACGGTATGTAGGGAACTGGATTGGTTGGGACCATCACGATTGATAGATCCTCTGGTATTGACTAACCAGGTGGCTTCTGCCAAATGCTTCTCCCAGTGCTTAAATGTTCCACCACCCAGTGCTTTTAGCATCGTTTTTAACAATCCATTGTATCGTTCAATTTTACCAGAGGCTGGTGCATGGTAGGGGATATGGTAAATCCACTCAATGCCATGATCTTTGGCCCAAGTATTTACAAGAGAATTTTTGAAATGAGTCCCATTATCTGACTCTATCCTTTCTGGGGTGCCATGTCGCCACAGGACTTGTTTCTCGAGACCCAGTATGGTGTTTCGGGCGGTAGCATGGGGTACTGCAAATGTTTCAAGCCACCCAGTGGTTGCCTCCACCATAGTAAGCACATAATGCTTACCATTGCGAGATCGTGGCAAGGTGATATAATCAACCTGCCATGCCTCCCCATATTTGTACTTTTGCCATCGCCCTTCCTCCCACAGAGGCTTCATCCTCTTGGCTTGTTTGATGATGGCACATGTTTCACAGTTATGAATAACCTGTGCAATGGCATCCATAGTTAAGTCCACCCCTCGGTCTCTAGCCCATTTGTATGTTGCATCTCTCCCTTGATGACCTGAGGTCTCATGGGCCCACCGAGCCAGAAATAATTCACCCTTGTTCTGCCAGTCCAGGTCTATTTGAGCCACCTCAATTCTGGCAGCTCGGTCTACTTGATGGTTATTTTGCTGTTCTTCAGTAGCCCGACTCTTGGGCACATGAGCATCTACATGGCGCACTTTTACAACCATAATTCTTTGTTCGGGCAGCAATGTCTTTCCACAGTTCAGCAGCCCAAATAGGTTTCCCCCTTCTTTGCCAGTTATTTTGCTCCCACTGCTGTAACCACCCCCATAAGGCATTCGCTACCATCCATGAGTCAGTGTAAAGATAGAGCATTGGCCACCTCTCCCTTTCAGCAACATCTAAGGCCAGTTGGACAGCCTTTACCTCTGCAAATTGGCTTGATTCTCCTTTCCCTTCAGTGGCCTCTGCAACTTGTCGTGTGGGGCTCCACACAGCAGATTTCCATCTGCGATGCTTTCCCACAATACGACACGATCCATCTGTGAACAGGGCATATTTCTTTTCATTCTCTGGTAGTTCATTGTATGGTGAGGCTTCTTTAGCACGTGATACTTCTTCTCCTGGTGGTGTTCCAAACTTTTTACCTTCAGGCCAGTCCATGATAACCTCTAGGATTCCTGGACGGCTGAGGT